ATTGGTCAAAACACCATTTGGGATGTGGCCAAAAGCCCAGTTTAAGTACTCAGGACACCATCAAATCAGCCCCTTTTGCCTTTTTCTAGTCGTGAAACAGTGATTCTGTCCAAATTCCCTTTAAAATCTTAAATGATTCCCATTGAGCTAAACTGACCTCTTTCCCTTACAAGGTAATGGGAGTTTTTCGACATACCCTAACTGTCATGAACAGGTGTAGTGCCGAAATTTGCACCCTGCCAGGTTTAGGAGTAGGTGTGGGGGAGGGGTTAGGATTAGGGGTGGGCTTGGGATTAGGCAATCAGGTAACGACTTCAACGAGGGGGTGCATAATCTGGCAGGGGTGCAGAATTCGGCACAACACCGGAATGCACAGAGTTCACAAGAAGATAAGACCCTTATTCCTCGTCGATCGATCGTGTAGAAGCTTTGAAGCTGCACTGAAACTGTAATTTTGACCTTCAACCTGGTAGCCGTTGAAGTTCACTAAAAGGAGAATAATCCTGGAATGTTTTCATCAAAAACCTTAATTTCTTTTCGACTGAAGAAAGAAAGACGTAAATATCTTGGATGACATGGGGGTGAGTAAATTATCAGGAAATTTTAATTTGAAAGTGGACTAATCCTTTAATGTCAAATAAATAGATAAATTAAATAAACTAAATTATCAGGAAATTTTCATTTGAAAGTGGACTAATCCTTTAATGTCAAATAAATAGATAAATTAAATAAACGCATACATAAATATGCTAGTACAGCCACACACTGCTGCATGTCAGAATTGCTTAATAATATGCTCTGCTCACTGAAATCTCAATTTGTTTTGGCAATTGTTACTGAGAGGAAGAAAATATTCTGCCATTTTGAGATATTCTTCTAATGGATTGGTAAAAAATGAAAATGGAGAGGACAGTATAACAGATCATTTAAAAAGCCAGAGCACCTGCATTAGTTGTTTTGATAAACACACTAAACCTTTCATGTAACCTTTCATGTGAAATGTAAATTTGTCAAGTCTAAATATTTTGTTTTTCTCTCAGTTTTGCTTGAAGGCATGAACTGTAGCAACTGAGATGAAGGAAATGCTTTATAAACAAAGAGCGGTTTCCCATCTGCCCACGTCGTAAGTGTGTCTCAGTGGTCTTATGATGGAGAACTATTCCCACACTCCAGCACACTGAATGGGCCTTCTGGGAAATTTACGAAGAGCTTCTTTAAGAGTCAGTGATGTGTGGACAGTTCTCTAGACAGCGTTTTGCATTTAGTTTATAAAATGTTTTGCTTACAGGAGACTATAACTAACCAGCATATGTGTTGCATTTCCTGAATCTGACAATTGTTGTTGTTTTTGGACATTAAATCTAGTGTGCTGCGTACACTTTAAGTGTTTTTGTTGTTATATTTTAAAATGGTTTATTGCAATATTGACATAATATATGTAAATGTTTCGTGTAGGCTTATCATTTTTCACATTTAGACGGTTACATTTCCCTCTGTGAAACAACAATTGGAATTATTAAGTATTGTTATTACTACTACTATTATTATTATTACTATTATTATTATTATTATTATTATAGTGTTAACTTGGTAGAAGACTTTTTCAAGTCAGTACTGCTTTTAGGGATGGGGAACAGTCTATAAAAGACAAGCTGAGCATTATATACGCTGCAGCACCCAATGGAAAAATTGACTATTTTGGATTTTTTTGTAGGGGGCTCCCCCTACTGGACCGACAGAGTGT